ATAATGCAGCGCGTATCAGTGCACACAGACATTATTCGCAATCCTTCGTCATCCTGACAAGTACACGCGATAACGTGAACATCTCAAGATGAGAAGTTGACAGTGCTAAAGGCCCCTCATACAATATCATCGGGCGCCTGAAGCACTGCCATAACAGTCCCAACAAGCAGCAACGTAGTCTTCCAGCCGAAAATAATTACTTTTGATTCGGGTCAGTAATTATAATAGATAATTACTTCGGCCAAACGGCATTATTCGATATATTGCAGCCAGCAATATATCGAATAACGCCGTTGGCCTCAGTAATTATCTATTAAATACCGACAGCTTCGGTATAATGTCTTTGATAGTAACATTTGTGGTGGGACGCTACAGTAGAATATATATTTTATATATATATATATATATATATATATATATATATATATATATATATATATATATATATATATATATATATATATATATATATATATATATATTCTAATGTACCGTCCCAAGATAAACTGAGAGAAAATATATAAAGATGAAATAAATATAGTGTAAGAGTATCATTGGTGCATGAGCATAAAATATACGTGGTTTTTAGAAATGTGTAGGCAATGCAGAGAGAAACATAAAGAGCATATAAAAACGTCTTGCAGCAAAAAGATCAGAGATGACGTCGTTAAAAACATCGTAAGTATATAGCGTATAGTAGGAATATTTAAATCTGTAGTAGAACATTGCCCGGTGAAAATTATTGACTTCGTGAGAGACAATAATATTGACAACTTTCACTCCAAGACCTGTCTTACAAATTTTTTGTTCGTAACTTTTGAATGATTGGTCATGTTCTTGAAGCCAAGGCTTATTAAAGTCAATTTATTTTAATAGAAGGGACGTAATGATTTTATAAGTTAGCCAAGTCTACTGGTCTATTATTATAATTAGACTAATTTTTTTGTGTTTTCGACCTTAGTTCCCTGACAACTCCGAAAGCGCTTTGAATGACGTGGCGTTTGAGAACAATGCGCAGGTAACTTCATAAATGGACAGTTAAGGTGGCTCCCTACAGTTATTCTCATTTAAGCAATAATTCCGTAAAACAGGCTTATTCGTGCAGAACGCGAATTCTTTTCGACTTGGTGGCAATATTGGTCACCTAAGGAATATTTCGAACTAGATTTCGACGATGTCAATGTTCCCATGGCAACATGACGACAGCATAAAG